ATTGGAAGTTGTAGCACAACTGAAAAAAGGGACTGGCAGCCAGTCCTGACGCTTATTATTATGGCAGCATCCCCAGGGCATGTAATCAAAATTTGGGAACTTGGCAACACACACACACACACTACAATGCGGTCATGTGATCACCGTTTGCAACCTTCCCAGCCGGCTTGTGACAAGCGAAGTCAACGGGGGAAACTGGATTTGCTTAACAACTGCACGATTCACTTAACAACTATAATGATTTGCTTAACAAACATGGCAAGGAAGGTTATGAAACTCACTTGAAACTGTGGGAGGGATCTTGGAGTCTTAGTGGACAACCGGGTAAATATGAGCCAGAAGTGTGCAGCAGCAGCCAAAAAAGCTAATGCAATCCTAAGTTGCATTAACAGAGGGGTACAATCGAGATCAAGTGAGGTACTAATACCACTCTATAAAGCCTTAGTAAAACCACACCTAGAGTACTGCATCCAGTTTTGGTCACCACGTTATAAAAAAGATGTTGAGACTCTAGAAAAAGGACAGAGAAGAGCAACCAGGATGGTTAGGGGACTGGAGGCTAAAACATATAAAGAACGGTTGCAGGAACTAGGCATGGCTAGTCTAGTAAAGGGAAGTACCAGGGGAGATATAATATCAGTCTTCCAATATTTGAGGGGCTGCCATAGAGAGGAAGGGGTCAAGCTATTCTCCAAAGCACCTGAAGGGCAGAGAAAGAATAATGAATGGAAACTGAACAGGGAGAGATTCAACCTAGAAATAAGAAGAAACTTTCTGACAGTGAGAACAATCAACCAATGGAACAGCTGGCCTTCAGAAGTTGTGGGAGCACCATCACTTGAGACCTTCAAGAAGAGATTGGACTGTCATTTGTCAGAAATGGTGTAGGGTCTCCCGCTTGGGCGGGGGGTTGGACTAGATGATCTATAAGGTCCCTTCTGATTATCTGTTATCTATTATCACTGAACAACTGCCTCACTTAGGAATGGAAATTCTGGTCCTAACTATGGTTTTAAGTCAAGGATTAACCTGTATGTAAAGAACGGAGACCAAGTTGAGGTGTATTTTGAAGTAAAGATGTAAAGGAATTATGCCATGTTAATTTGCTAGGATCAAATTTCCAGGAAGAAAATCCATCTCACTTTCGAAGGTGTGAAAGTTGGCTTATCCTAGCTTCATCTCACTTCTGAAGGTGTGCAACAGGGCCAGGACATCCAACTTTTCCCTATGTTATCATAATAGAAAAGTTCATGGCATTAATAGTAGCCCGGGTAGCCGAATGCCTTTTGTAGCACTTCTTGGCCAACTGTATGACCGCCACAAATCACACAATTACACGTTTATTCCAGGAAGCATGACAAAAGAGGTGCAATCTCTGTTAACAAACCCCTTTGGCCATAAATATTAAAGAAAGGGTTGAGAATCTGTCCATTTTGTGCATTTTCAGAAGTAAATAAATCTTCCCCCACTACCCTATTTATATCCGGAGAATTAATTAAAAAACCAGACGTAAATCTGATGGAATGGAACTCTGCCCGGTTATCAATCCATACATTTGTAGCTGAAAAATGTATTGTCTTTGTTCTTTCTTGGAATTTTTTTCTCTGTCCTCATCACACGTGTGCTACAGGGCTACATTTTCTTCAGATGCATATGTGCAGAGTGCAAGAAATAAGAAGGAAGATGAGATCAGAGCCACCATTCAAATTGTGAGAACTTGATACGGGCCCAGTCAAAAAATGGCTGTTGCAGAAGACTCATTTTTCATATAATAGGTACAAGTCATCCTCAACTTACAATAGTTCGTTTAGTGACCATTGAAAGTTACAACGGCACTTAAAAAGTGACTTATGACCATTTTTCATACTTAAGACCATTGCAACATGGTCATGTGATCAAAAATTCATATACTTGGCAACTGAATCGTGTTTATGACGGTTGTAGTGTTCCAGGGTCATACGATCACCTTTTTGAAAGCAAAGTCGATGGGGAAGCCAGATTCACTTAACAACCGTGTTACTAACTTAACAACTGCATTGATTCACTTAACAACAGTGGCAAATAAGGTCGTAAAAAGGGGCAAAAGTTCACTTGACAAATGTTTTGCTTAGCAACAGAAATTTTGGGCTCGGTTGAGGTTGTAAGCCGAAGCCAACCTGTACTGTAAAATTGAAGGCATGGCTACTCACAAAATGCAGGTAGTCCTCAACTTTTATTTTATTTATTTATTTGATTTGTCAATTGCTTACAAGATAATAGGTATAAGTATATACATAGTTATGAATACATGAAATGGGTACATATAAGAAAAATAAAAGAAATAATAGGACAGGGATGGTAGGCACGTTGGTGCGCTTATGCACGTCCCCTACAGACCTCTTAGGAAAGGGGTGAGGTCAATAGTAGACAGTCTAAGGTTAAAGTTTTGGGGGTTTGGGGAAGAAACTACAGAGTCAGGTAGAGTATTCCAGACATTGACCACTCTGTGGCTGAAGTCGTATTTCCTGCAATCAAGTTTGTTTAACAACTGTTTGGAGGTACAACAGCACTGAAAAAATGACCCATACTCAAAATGTTCACCATCATCATACCCCCCCCCCTCCTTGGTCACCCGATCACAATTGCCAACTGGCTCATGTTTATGACAGGTGCAGCACCATGAAGTCATGTGATCATAATTTGTGAACTTCTCTACTGGCTTCTGACGAATAATATCAACGGGAAGCCAGAGTTGCTTAATGACCGCATGATTCCCTTAAAGACTGCCTGATTTGCTTAATGGCTGTGATAAAAATGGCTGTAAAATCGGCTGTATAACCGTTTTACTGAAGACGAACTGGTCTTCTTATCATTCCAATAAGTGAGATTATATGTCCATTGTGAGTTTTAAGGCAAATAAATATGATGGGTAGACATTGATGCTTTGTTTTTCAGTTGACCAAATTTCTGGACGTTTTTTGTGTGTGACTATAATAATGTTAAAGTTATGTCACTGAAGATGATATCTGGTGCATACTTAGAGAAGTCTCTGGTGGTACATAGGTGTCCTGCAGGTAGCATGTTGCCTACTCTGTTTTGATCACCACACTATAAAAAGATATTGAGACTCTAGAAAGAGTGCAGAGAAGAGCAACCAAAATGATTAGAGGACTGGAGACTAAATAATATGATGAATGGTTGCCGGAACTGGGCATAACTAGTCTAGTGAAGAGAAGAACCAGGGGAGACATGATAGCAGTGTTCTAATATTTGAGGGGCTGCCACAGAGAGGAGGGGGTCAAGCTATTTTCTAAAGCTCCTGAAGGCCAGACAAGGAATAATGGATGGAAACTGATCAAGGAGAGATTCAACTTGGAAATAAGGATAACTTTTTCTGACAGTGAGAACAATCCACCAATGGAACAGAAGTTGCCTTTGGAAGTTGTAGGAGCTTCATCACTTGAGACTTTCAAGAAGAGATTGGACTGCCATCTGTCAGAAATGGTGTAGGATCTGCCTGGGCAGGGGGTTGGACTAGATGACCTTTAAGGTCCCTTCCAACTCTGTTAATGTGTTTTAGCAGAAAAACAACAACATTCCAACTTCATTCTGTAGGACTAAAATACTAACGGAAGACAAATCCCCACAATTTGGCATGTGAATGTCCAATTGTAATTTGTTCCCATGTCCCTCAATGAGAACCAGATTGCGGATTCCTTGGTGCTCTCTAAATTTGGTGGTTTTCCAACACTGATGATGTTACCTAGTTGGGTAATGAAACGTCCGTGAGCAAACCACTAAGCTCAGAAGGCACCAAGGACCCCCACAGTTCAACCCTGAGTTAAGAATAGTCTCTTCCGTTGAGAACCAGATTCTTACCAAAGGCCCGTTATTCTTAATGTGGTGCCCTCCCTATATCTTGAACTCCAATTCTCATCTCTCCACACTTATGTGGTGTCAGGATGATGAGAATTGAAGTTCAACTGTTCTGAGCAACCTCAGGCTGGGAAAGACAGTCCTAAACCCTATAGCTGACAAAGAATGATTCTACAGTGCAGGTTAGGAGTCTTCTTTGGACTTTCTTATTCAATTTACCTTTGGATTATGGATTTCCTGTCTGGCCGATCACAGATGGTCAGATTAGGTAATCATACCTCTTCAGCCCTTATTCTTAACAGTGGTACGCCACAGGGTTCTGTGTTGAGTCCCTTACTCTATTCTATTTATGTGCATGACTGCATTCCCACTCACGTTAGTAATACTATTACTAAATTTGCAGATGATACAACAGTGGTGGAACTCATCTCCAGGGAGGGGGATGAGCCTACTTATCGAGATAAGGTGGACCGGTTGCTTTTGTGGTGTGGAGACAATAACTTTGTCCTCAATAAGACCAAGGAGCTTATAGTGGACTATAGAAGGAACAGATCAGACATCCAGCCCTTGCTTATCAATGGAGACCGAGTAGAGCAAGTGGCCAGTTTTAAGTTTCTGGGTGTTACCTTAAAAAAGGACCTGACCTGGGATGCTCACATTGCAGTGCTGGTCAAAAGGGCCCAGCAGAGATTATACTACCTGAGACTTCTTAGAAAACAACAACTGAATGAAAAACTGCTGGTGACCTTCTAACGCTGTACTATAGAGAGTATCTAAACTTACTGCACCTCTGTACGGTTTGCCAATTGCACAGTGGCAGATAGGAAAGCACTCCAGAGGGTTAACGTCATTGCCCAGAAGATCATTGGTTGCCCTCTCCCCTCTTTGGAAGAGCTTTATAGCTCCCGCTGCCTTAAAAAAGTTCAAAACATTCTCAAAGATCCATCTCATCCTGGGCACCCTTTTTTTGAACTATTACTATCTGGCAGATGGTGCAGGATAATAAAAACAAGGACAAATAGGCTGAAAAACAGCTTCTAACCCAGGGCAGCAACTCTATTGAATGTATAGTGCAATATCAGTGGTTTTCAATTCAATGTATAGAACGTGAAGGATGTGTGTTTATGTTTATTTTTGTAGTCATAATGTATACTGAAGATGGTATTTAATTTCATTGTACAAGATGCAATGACAACAAACTAAACTAAACTAAACTAAACTAAACTAAACTAAACTAAACTAAACTTTAGCCTACGTCCTCCTCTTTGGGAATTCACAGACGAAATACATGGTGAGGTGGCATTCCGTATCATTCCATTTCCCAGTACTGAGCATCTCCACACAGTCCTCATTCTCTTGGGTGTCCTGAGGCGCTCCTTCCTTCCAATTGCTATAGCTTTGCAATGGTGTACGGTCTGCATACATGAACTGGCCTTCGTTCTCTATGTCGTTCAGCCCTATAAAGACTCTGAAGAAGCCACTCTGGGAGACGTAGTCAGAAATCACCGTGTTAGCAGCTTCATCCTTCGGCATGGCTAAGATTCCTTCTCGAATCCTGCAGTGAGCAAGGGCTTCCCTGTAGTTCTTCTCTTCCTGAACAATGTAGTAGTATTTTTCTTCTGTTTCTCTGATGCCTGCTAACACTTTTAGAAAGAGAAATAAAAAAGCTGGTTTTAAAAAAGCTGGTTTTAAAAACAAAAAAATAGCCATTTCAGGATGCCTAAGTCTATAACCGTGATGGCGAACCTATGGCACATGTGCCACAAGTGGCACACAGAGCCACTCGTGCTGACATACGAGCCGCAGGCAAACTTACCTCACTGCGCATGCGTGCGCCTCACAGTTGATTCCTCCCCCCCGGTTGGTTTGAGGCCTTTTTTGGCCTCCCAGAGGCTTGGAAAATGCCTCTGTAAGGCTTTTCAGGACGAATTATAGGCCCGTTTTGTCACTTCCTGTAATACCAGAAGTGATGAAACAGGCCTATAATTCATCCTGAAAAGCCTTGCAGAGGCTTTTTCCAAACCTCTGGGAAACCGAAAAAGGCCTCAAACCAGCCGAAAAATCAGCTGTGAGGCAGAGTGCAGGTAAGGGGGTGGGGGTGGGGATTGCACGCACATGCGCAGGGGGTGTGGGGAGGGCACCCGCACATTGCATTCTGGGTGCTGGCACATGAGTACATGCACACTGGCACACATGCAATTTTTGGCACAGGAGCCCAAAAAGGTTAGCCACCACTGGCCTATAATCATGGATGTCTATATATAAAACAAGGAAGACTCCTGGTGGTGCAGTGGTTACAGTGTAGTATAGGCAATCCTCAACTTATGACCACAATTGAGCCCCAGATTTATGTTGCTAAGTGAGACATTTGTGAAGTGAGTTTTGCCCCGTTTTACGACTTTTCTTACCACATTTGTTAAGTGAATCACTGCAGTTGTTAAATAGTAACATGGTTGTTAAGTGAATCTGGCTTACCCATTGACTTTGCTTTCAGAAAGTCACAAAAAGGCATGACCCTAGAGTATTGCAGCAGTCATAAATATGAGTAGGTTGTTATGGGGATGCTGCAATGGTCATAAGTGTGAAAAACGGCCATCAGTCACTTTTTTCAGTGCTATTGTGACTTCGAACAGTCACTAAGTGAACTGTTGTAAGTTGAGGACTATCTGTATTGCAGTTTAACTCTGCCCACAGCCTGGAGCTTGATTCTGATGGGGCTCAAGATTGACTCAGCCTTCCATCCTTCTGAAATTGGTAAAATGAGAACCTGGATTATTGGGGGCAAGATGCAGATGTGTTTACATTGCAAACTGCCCAGAGAGTGCTGTAAAATGCTATGGGAATGGTACATAAGCTTAAATGCTACGGTTGTGGTTAAGCATAAATTGGATACAGGACAGATGTTTTTATTTATTTATATTTTATTTTATTTTATTTTATTTATTTATTTTGAGTTTGTAGCACATCTCCAGCTTGGAATGTTTTCCCCTGAATTTTGATGGCATGGTCTTTGAGGGATTTGGGCACTTTTGCGCAACTTCCAGGAGAATCCCACGTGAATCCCCAATTTAAGAGAAATTAACAAAAACAAAGGATATGAAACCTACCATTCTTTACGAAGGTAATGGAATTTTTGAGTCGAGCCACATTGATGTCCAGTTGTCCAACAACTTTGCGATATTTTCCACAATCACAGACACCACCTAACTCAGTATAAATATAGAAACATTAAGTCCGAAGTAACTTTAATGAGACCTATCTATTCCTTCTTCCAAGTTAACTCTAGTTATTTATTATGTTTATATATCTCAGTTTCTCACCAATAATTCAAAATGTACAGATAATTCTCACCAATAATTCAATATGTACAGATAATTCTCACCAATAATTCAAAATGTACAGATTTATTTATCAAAATAAATAAACAGGGCCTTAAGCTGAGTTGGTGATGTCAAAGGAATTGTCTTGGCATTACAGATAGTTCTAGTTTAGTGACTGCCTTGTATGGCAACTGCTTGCCCTTACAACAATGATGGAAAAAGAAACATTTTCAACACTGGTCCTTGCATTTATGACATTCACAGGTATGGAAAACAAAGAAAAACTGAAGTAAAGATCATAAGCACAGTTATGATTTCACTTAGCGAACTCTTTGCTTAATGATCAACTTGCCAGTCCCAGTTGTGATCACTAAATGAGGACCTTTCTGTATTGTGGAAATGTTTGCCATTATCTTCTACTGGGGCTTCTTTTGAGTTCCAGAACTAGCCTATTACAACCCAGAGGCAATTCTTTTGCTGCTTGTATTTTGCAAAGTAAAAGGTAAAGGTTCCCCTCGCACATACGTGCTAGTCGTTTCTGGCTCTTGGGGACAGTGCTAAAGGATGGGAAATGAAACAAGAGGGGCTGTTTTTCCTTGGTAAAGGAACAGCCTCCAGGAGAGATCAGGTTAGTCTCTTCCTTATCCCAACCTAATCTCACACAGTTTTGGTCACCCCATTACAAAAAAGATGTTGAAACTTTGGGAAAAAAAGTGCAAAGAAGAGCAACTAAGATGATTAAAGGCATGGAGACTAAAACATATGAAGAATGGTTGCAGGATTTGGGTTTGGCTAGTCCAGAGAAAAGAAGGACTAGAGAGGACATGATAGCAGTATTTCAGTATTTGAGAGGCTGCCACAAAGAGGAGGGGGTCAGTTTATTTTCCAAACCACCTGAAGGCAAGACAAAAAACAATGGATGGAAACTAATCAAGGAGGGAAACAACCTGGAATTAAGGAGAAACTTCTTAACAGTGAGGATGGAAAGGAACAGCTTTTCCTGCAATCTAAGTGTAGTACATAAAATTATATATTGCAATGTCCTACCTGTCAATGAATACTTCAGATTTCAACCATTACAATGCAAGAGCACACAATAGATGCAAACTCAAGGTAAACCGCACCAAACTTGATTGCAGGAAATACGACTTCAGCAACAGAGTGGTCAATGTCTGGAATACTCTACCTGACTCTGTGATTTCTTCCCCAAACCCCCAAAACTTTAACCTTAGACTGTCTACTATTGACCTCAGCCCTTTCCTAAGAGGTCTGTAGGGGGCGTGCATAAGCACACCAATGTGCCTACTGTCCCTGTCCTATTGTTTCTTTTTATTTTTCTTATATGTATCCATTTCATGTATTCATAACTATGTTATACTTATACTTGTTATCTTATAATCGCTTGATAAAATAAATAAAATAAAATAAATAAATATACATGCTTCCTCCTTCTGGCTCTGTAAACCAACATGCTAGGATACACAGTGACTACAATTTGATTGCCTTTGATCTAGAAGACAATGTAGGCATCAGAAATGCAAAAGAAGAACAAACAATGTGTACCTGCTTTACCCTTCCCTCCAGTGACTCCAGATTCACCCTTTACTCCTTTGTCACCTAAATAAAGAAGAAAATACATTGCCTTCAACTGTAAAGTTGCCAGCACATTTACAAAATAGGTCTTGAGAAATGGATAGAGCCCATAGGTGGATGGCCAATATAAACAGTTCAGTTTTAGATATATTGGATTAAGTTCTACTGAATACAGGTAGTCCTTGGCTTACAACAGTTTGTTTAGTGACTGTTCAAAATTACAACAGCCACAGAAAAAGGTGACTTATGGCCATTTTCCTGACTTAAACTGTTGCAGCATCCCAATGGTCACATGATCAAGATTTGGACACTTTGGAATTGGAAGGAATTTATTACATTTGCACTGTTTTTGAGTTATGTGATCACCTTGTACAATCTTCTGGCAAGCAAAAGCAATGGGGAAGCCAGATTCACTTAACTGTGTCAAGAAAGTGTCAGGATTCTGGCAGTTACCCCCATTTAAATTATGAATCTTGAGCCAAACTTCCAAAACGTAAAAAGAATTTATTGGGAGTTAAACTGTCCGGCACTGCCTGGGTATAGCCAACTCTGAAACACATCATTCCTTGTCACCCTTGACCCTGGTTTTCCCCCACCCCTTGGGTGTATCATAATTCAGATTCTCCAATGGGACACATCCATAGCCAAGAGTCATCAATCATACTCTCCAGTTAGAATTTTGCAAGGCAGAAACTTCAGTCACTTAGTTACTATCTTTGAAAGCATTTATGGAATGCAGTTTTGGTTTGTTGCACTGTTACCCCACTCCCTTTCTGTTGGCAACTCTAAAAAGACCATAGAAATATTTTATGAATTGACAGAAAATTTGTAAAATGGGGAAAAACTCACTTAAACTTAGCAACAGACATTTTTGGCTCGATTGTGGTCATAAGTCAAAGACAACCTGTACATTGGATTAAGTTCTACTGAATACAGTTGACTCTATTTTGGTCTACTGTAGTCTTGCCAAGGCAGGCTCTGAAAGCGTTTGTTTTCTGATAGTAAACTTCCGATTCTAATAGATGATCCATTAAAAGTTTAAAGACTTGGGATCTAGATGTGCCTAGTACCTTTCTTTCTTCAGGGAATCGCAGCCAAAACTGAGAGGGACAATAGCTGAAAGGAGTTAATGATATAATAAATGAATAAACCCAAAGCAGGTAGGTTATGCATTTCACTTTTGGAAAGAGGAATTTTTTTGCAGGTTTTAGAGGCACTTAAGAAAATTACTTAAGAATAAATGGGAATTCTGAAGGTGGAAGGTTTGTTTTTAATGGGATTGCAATATATAGGAGGTGCAGTATACAGGAGGTTTTAACTTTCCTTCTCTTGCTTTATTTTATAAGAACCCATCCCTAGTTGCTATTAACCCCTGGCAGGATAAAAAGCTGAGTGGAACTTCTGTTTTTAAAGGAAAAAAGATAATTTCAATAGGACAATTGGAGATGAAAAAAGAAGGTCATCTGTATGAGACTCGGTGGTGCAGTGGCTAGAGTGCAGTACTCTAGGCTACTTCTGCTGACTACTGGCTGCCTGCAATTTGGTGGTTCAAATCCCACCAGGCTCCAGGTTGACTCAGCCTTCCATCCTTCCAGGTGGGTAAAATAAGGACCCAGATTGTTGGGGGCAATAGGCTGGCTCCGTACACCACTTAGAGAGGGCTATAAAGCACTTGAAAGTGGTACATAAGTCCAAGTGCTATTGCTATTGCCATTTCTGCAATGTTTGCAGTGAAAAAGAGTACATACGTTTATAATTCTGCATTCACCACTGCATTCAGCATTAAGGGAATAATCAGCCAGTGGGAAGAAGGAATATATATGTGATGGCTGCCACCGTCATCTCCACCTCCATATGTTTTCTGTAACAAACTCAGTCTTTCCATTTTTATTTTTGTTCCCCTCCTCCCAGTGTGCTTTGCATTAGTCACATATCTCCCACAGTTGGTGAACAAACTGAAACTGAAAAGAGGTAGGGCATTTAAACAAATAAAATCCTGAAATTGGCTTCCAATTCAACTATGACGTTTTCACAAGGAAGAAACACAAACTTTTGGAATGGCTTTCACAATTCCTGGATTTAAATATTCCTAGAAATCTGTGGGGATATCTCAAACATGTAGTACATTGCAACAATATTTCTAAGGTAGAAGAGTTCTGCAAGGAACAGTTGGAAAATATACAACTAAAAGTAAAAAAAAAAAAGCACATACTTGGATACAACAGGAACGTGAAACAGTTGTTGCCAATTTAGATAAGGCCCCTGGAGCATTTTTATTCTTGAAATATTTGAGTATTGCATAGAAATGTGTATGTTGTTAGTGAATGTGTAAGTGAACTTGATAATGTCCACCTACCTCATAACATGAATTCCCAAATGCCTATTAGCCAAGCTTCCGACAGAGCTGCATTAAGTTTGACTAGCCAACTCCAAAATTCCTGCTTCCATAGGGAAATCTCAATCCACACTTCTGTTCCCTTCAAAATAAAGTTGGCCATGTAGCTTTCAGGAGGTGTGGTTGATAGGGATGTACTGAAGGGGATATCTGTTCAAGAGGGATGTAGGAACTGGGCTAGATTGACTGATAATTCAATTAATCTTGCTTGAAAGGATGGGGATTGAACCTATGACCTTCTGCATTTGCACTCCAATGAGTTACAGTCATCCCAGCACAGATTAGGAGCATCCCATCATTGATTGGGATCCGAGAAGACTACAACTTAATGGTGGTCTCTCCTTCATTGATGCCCGTTGAAGAGATCTCTGACCATTCTGCTTTTTACATTTTTCAGCATTTGGTGAAGTGAACTCAAGTGTGTCAAATGCTTGTTTTAAAATAAGCCCTTTAGTTATTTTTTTCCTCCTTCTTCCATGTACTTTGCTCTTGTATTTCATTGTGCAGACACTAAATTATAATGAACTCAGCAGAGAACATTGAGGAAATTGAAATGCGTGCTTATGAAGAGCTTTTCCAAGAACATAGACAATACCAAAAGGAGTCTGAATGGATTCATGTTGGTAGCCATGAAACGGGAAGCATAAGTTAACAGTACTTGTGTTTTGGAAATAAAAGCCTTCAGTTTCATTTGCAAACATAAATAGCAGGTGTTTTTTAAATTTTATACTGAGGTTTACCATCCAGTGAAGATGTGTGATCAATCAATTAATACTTACCTTTCCTGCCAATTGGTCCAATTTTACCTATCATTCCTTGTTCACCAATATCTCCAATTGCTCCTTTGTCTCCTGAATTGGAAATACAATAAATAGAAGTTTGTTTCATTGAGTCTCAGAGCACAATTTAATTGTATTTTAAGGTACTGCACATTAATCAAACTAGGGTCCTTACTATTTAGTAAGGCTGTATTACTATTATTCCTCTCATTTTTCCTATTTTTCCATCTCCTTTTCTACTTATAGTATAACTTTGTTGCTTGTATCTTTACAATTTATGTTGTTTTACTTAGTTTCCTAGTATGATTTATGTTGATTGATTATTTAGTATCCTATGACTATCACTAAGTGTTGTATCTTGTAATTTATGATGAATGTATTTTTTATGATGACTATGATCATGATTTATCATGTATAGCTTTTATGTACACTGAGAGCTTATGCACTGAAGACAAATTCCTTGTGTGTCCAATCACACTTGGCCAATAAAGAATTCTGTTCTGTTCCTGTTCTACTCTACTCTACTCTACTCTACTCTACTCTACTCTACTCTACTCTATTCTTGTAAAGGGCCAGGAATTATAGAGGTTGAATCAGAATTCTTCAAGCTTGGCAACTTTACCACTTCTATATTCCAATTCCCAGCATTCCATGCTGGCTGAGGAATTCTGGAAGTTGAAGTCCACAAGTCATAAATTTGCCAAGCTTGGAGCCCCCTGCTTTAAATAATTTCCATTAGAGAATAGCAATAGCACTTAAACTTATATACCGCTTCATAGTGCTTTACAGCCCTCTCTAAGCATTTTTCAGAGCATATTGCCTCCAACAATCTGGGTCCTCACTTTACCAACCTCAGAACGATGGAAGGCTGAGTCAACCTTGAGCCGGTGAGATATGAACTACCGGTGGCCGGCAGTCAGGGGAAGTAGCCTGCAGTACTGCATTCTAACCACCATGGCTTGTGTCCCCCCACCTCATCTCCACAATATTCCAGAAGTATTTTGCTGGTTGCCCTAAGAAAGAAGATGTTGGACTAAGATAACCATGTTCTAATCTAGCACTTCTCCATTAAGAGGAGATGTGTGTAGCTATGAAATGGTCAACGTTTTCCCTTCTAACTAGACATCAAAATGGGAGGGTTGTGTTAGTTTATGAAAGCAAAATATGGAACGTAGTGTCATAGGCTGGAAGGGATCTAGGAGGTCTGCTAGTCCAACCCCTGCTCAAGGCAGGAGCTTACACCATTCCAGTCAAATGGTTGTCCAGTTTGTTTTTGAAATCCTTCAGCAATGGAGCGCTCACAACTTCAGAAGGCAAGCTATCCCATTGATTAATTGTACTCTCTGTCAAAAAAAGTTCTCCTTAGTTAAAGTATTTCCTTTAACAAGCTTCCACCCATTGTCCTGCCCTCTTGTGCTTTGAAGAATAAGTTGTCCCCTCTTCTCTGTGATAGGCCCTCTAGTTCTGGAAGACAGTTATCATGTCTCCCCTAATGCTTCTCTTTGATAGACTAGACATGCCTAGCTCCTCAACTGTTCGCCCTATGATTTATGATTAAGATAGCACCTTTTCCAAGTACCCAATTGTTTTAAGAAAGAAAATTGTCACATACTCCTTTGCTACTCCACTTGAAAGGTGTTGCATATGCTTTTCTTGTCCATTCCAACAGAATGGAGCCCTTTTGAAGAGAGTTTGACTTTGATTTGTCTCCATTAATGTACCATGCTGAGCTGTCAGGTAACAGATGGCTGTCTCTCCCTTTCTTTGCACTCTTGTAGAAAAACAACAACAACATGACATTTCCAAGCTTATCTGCATCACTCAAAACTCCCTGCTGAGATGCTTGTAGGAGTGATGTTTTGGTCTGAAAAAAATATTCTTAAATGATGACTAAGAGGAAAAAAATATCATTAGATGTATACGCAACTCCCTCAGTGTTATTCTCATACACAGATGGGTAAGACATACATGTCGACAGAGTAATTAAGAACCTAAAAAAAGAAAACTGGATTAAACCCTATGTAGACCAGCATTCTGGGTCACACAGTGACAATTAGATACACCTGGGAAGCTCACAAATTTGAACTTGGATTGAGAGTCTCCTTCCCTTTTGTTTCCCAGCAACCAGTATTTTGAGCAAACCTGATGATTCAGAAGGTAATAAATAGAGCAGTACAATACTTTGGATTTGATTTCTCTGCATTTGTGGAAAAGGTACAGCTACTTTCAAAAGTAGCAGATACGAGTGGTTTTTTTTAACCTTTGCATCCTTTAAAATGCCATCTGCACAGCCAGTTTCAGGGGCCTCAAGGCATGGCTTCCAACTGTCCTAATAGCACTAGCACTTAGACTTATATACCACTTTACGGCCCTCTCTAAGTGGTTTACAGCCTATTGCCTCCAACAATCTGGATCCTCATTTTACCCACCTCGGAAGGATGGAAGGCTGAGTCAACCTTGAGCCTGGTGAGATTCGAACTGCCAAATTGCAGGCAGTCGGCAGTCAGCAGAAGTAGCCAGCAGTACTGCGCCACCACGTCTCTTAATAATAGGATCATATCTCCCCAATTGTTTCTATTCTGGTCAGGTGTGAAAGACCAGATCCAGATCTGAAGGTCCAATTAAACTGATTTATTGCTAAACAGCCTAGGCATTAAATTTTCCCAACTAACAGTGGGCACCTGCTTAGAGTTTGATAAGGGTCAATGGAATTCAAGGGATGTTGGACTTAGTCTGCTTATGGCTACGTAAGGATTCGAGGCTGATCCCACTTTTGACTCCACCCTAGCTTCTGCTACTCCTTCTGCTATATTCCATCCCATTTGGTCTGGCAAGAGGACCATGCTGTGGATACCATCAGTTAAGGAGGGTCAGCTGGTGGGACCCAGGAGGAAGGCCTTTCCTGCCATCTTGTGGAACATAATTCTGCCTGGCTAAGATTAGGTTAGCCTAGATCTTGCTGGCCTTTCACAAGGCCCTGAAAAACTTGGTTTTCTGACCAGGCCTGAAGTCCAGGAAGCGTAATAAGACTCTGTTTCTTGGCTTTGTTGATGGTTATTTTATGCTGCTCGGCTGCTATGGGGTTTTATTTTGCTGTCAGGGTTCCGGCAGTTACCCCAATTAAATCATGAGTCTCGAGCCAAACTTCCAAAACTAAACAGGATTTATTTGGGAATTAACATGTTGGCACTGCCTGGGTGTAGCCGACTCTGAGACCCATAATTCACTGTCACACTTGACCCTGGTTTTCCCCCACCTCCTGGGTATATCATAATCCATATTCTCCAATGAGACACATCCATAGCCAAGAGTCATCAATCATGTTCTCCAGTTAGATTTTTGCGCGGCAGAAATTTCAGTCACCTAGTTACTATCTCTGAAAAATTATGAATGGAATGCACTTTCGATTTCCAAGCTTCCGCACTGCTCTTTCAAGCCCCTTTCCCCCCTCCTTTTCTGTTAGCAACTCTAAAACAACCCTATAAATATTTTATGAGTTGACATTTATATTACGTGTTTTATTTGCTTTTATCTATTTTATTACAAACAGCTAGAGTCATATTTGTGAGATAGATGGCTGTATCAATCAATCAATCAATCAAACCATTTCTGAAATATTGCTAAAACTCTAGGGACTAGACCAAGCAGTCATCAACATTAACGAAAGGTCACACATTTTTTTTAATTTTAAAAATTACATTATTACTCTGGATAATTTTCTTTATAAGCTTCCTTTTAAATAGTTCCTTTCCTCCTGTGATTAAGAAGCAAGATAAGCTTGTCAGAGTTTTATGGAATAGCTGAGTTTATACAGTACTCTTATCCAGATTAGGTGATGGCCTAATGGCTGCATTGCCATTACATACTAAACATGGGTAAACCTGATTTTTTTAGGGCTTACGGCCCTGTACCAACCCAGCCCATTTGGGTTAATTTAGAACCAGGTTAAGCATGCAGCCAGTGTGTAACTCTGAAGTAGTAAGGGATCATTCCTATGTTTTTAACTGTAAAGAGAGTACTGTAAATTGTTTTACCTTTGGATCCTGTGGGGCCAAGTTTCCCAGTTTTTCCCATTTCTCCTTGGTCTCCCTTTTCACCTTCATCTCCTTCAATCAGAAACAAAAAGAAAAAGAAGAAGAGGCAATGTGACAACAAAGTTTAGGAAATACTGATCTGATTTTATAGAACATAAAATAACAGAGGTGGAAGGGTCTTGGAGGTCATCTAGTCCAACCCCCTGCTCGAGCAGGACAGTCTATTCCAGAGGTGGTATTCAGCAGGTTCTGACCAGTTCTGGAGAACTGGTAGCGGAAACTTTGAGTAGTTCAGAGAATCGGCAAATACTACCTCTGACTGGAGATTTTACAATATCCTTCTCCTGCCACGCCCACCAAGCCATGCCCACAGAACTGGTAGTAAAAAAAATTGAATCTCACCACTGGTCTATTCCAACATTAGCTAGGATTTTGAAAGCAAGATGCCTGTTGGCTCAGCTCCTATTTTTTGATACGCCAGGTCTTTCATAATACCTAAATTACAGAATAACAGAACTGGAAGGGATTTTAGAGATATTCTCATCCAACCCACTGATGAAGGAGGAAACCGTATACCATTTCAGACAATTGGTTGTTCAATCTTTTCTTAAAACCCACCAGTGAACTGCATACTTCCTTGAGGATTTGTATATAAGTAGAGAAAAAAAGAATCAAGCACCCATAGCTTCATCAGTACTTTCATATTTAGGATTCTAAATCTATGTTCAGTATGCTCTTTGAATAGCTGGGAGAAGTGGTCAAAACATCAATTTTCAGAAGAGAAAATGGATAATGCTGTTGTCAGGATTCCGGCAGTTACCTCCATCTAAATAATGAGTCTCAAGCCAAACTTCCAAAACTTAAAAAGGATTTATTGGGAGTTAAACTGTCCAGCACTGCCTGGATATAGCCAACTCCGAGGCACATAATTCATTGTCACCCTTGACCCTGGTTTTCCCCCACCCTCCTGGGTGTATCATAATTCATATTCTCCAATGGGACACATCCATAGCCAAGAGTCATCAATCATGTTCTCCAGTTAGAATTTTGCGCGGCAGAAACTTCAGTCACCTAGTTACTATCTTTGAAAGCATTTATGGAATGCAGTTTTAGTTTGCACTGCTCCCCCTCCCTTTCTAAAAAGACCATACAAATATTTTATGAGTTGACAGCTGTCCATCCCCACTCAATGCCCAACTCAATCTATCTGTAGCCCAGGCACAGTTCTCTAAGTACAAACATCAATTATACTAAAGTGGCAGTTTTCCAAGGCTGGTAATGTTCAGATTTGTAGACTCCAACTCCCAGAATTCTCCAGCTGGCATGGCCTTTGCTAAGAATTCTGGGAGTTGAACTCCACACATTTGAAACTCATTCAACCTTGGAAACGTTCATTAGCGGCATGCCAGCTGTCTTTGAAAGCAAACACACACACTTTGAAGAATTTATCATTAAAACCAAGAGGAACAGGGAGTGTGTGTCCATGGCTGGTATCCATGGGAACAAAAATGACTGTTCTAGTACTGCAATCGATTGCTGATATAAAGCATGCTTGGCATACGCGCAGATGTGAATTAATATAATTCTGTACATTCTTCCTCCACAGATTTGATGTTTAGCTATTTAATTGAAATTTGTTTTTGTTGATTTGCCTTCCCTCTCTTTCACAAAGTCAATTACTTTCAATGACTTGAAAGAAACATCAGGCTTTAAAGAGAAAGTCTCGTGCTGAACATGAAATTTGCCTGTCTTCTAGTAATTCCTATTGTTGCTGAGATCTTCTCTGGGATAATAATGAACTAGGGAAGAGGGTGCCTGTGATGGCCCTTAAAATAAGGTAGGCAGGTAGGTAAGTGGGATGCCTATATTGGAGGGCCGATCTGGAAGGATTTTTGTGCCATACAGAACAGTATCTGTAGTTGGGATTCCCATCGTATAATAAGCCAGAATATTGTTTGTTTGCTTTTGGCTTGGTGATATTTGCACCTAGCCTTTTTTAGTATGTAAACCCAGTTTTATAGCTCATCAGGTTTGTCTACTCTGAGTGATTATGGCTTTTTTGGCATATTAGAGTTAAACCACACCCTCCCTTTAGGTTTATTATACTCGTGTGCAAAATGTAATCACCGAAATGGTAGTAACACTGGTTGAATCCCACTCCTGGACAAAACCCTTTGAAGGAAGCTGGATGAAAGTCCGTTTCCTTAAATATTCAGCTGTTAAATAAGAGACTTCATAGGGAAAGGTACCAAGATTTGTGCCTCGCTGCCCTCTTATGGTGTTTTGTGTTGTGATGTTTAATTTTTTTTTTAAACAACAGGCTTGGCATTCTTCAGCAAATTATGATGTGGGAAGTACATGGATACCACTATTATCCTTTTTACAGTAATCAATAGTACAAGTCAATTCTGATTTGATCAGATTTATATCCCACTGAGTTCAACAGATTTATAGCTGAATGGTAGTTCAACAGATCTATAGCTGAATGGTTCTGTACTGGGTGCAATGATGTCCTTTCTCCTTAAAGATAATTGACATCAGATTACACCTAACACTGAAGGTAGAGTTGACAACTCCACCTTGGATTGATTTTGAATTGTAGATATTATGGTTCAAGCACCTGGAATAATTTTTGGACTTGATAGTTTCTTCTCTTTCTCATAACATATACCTAATCATCATGCTATTCTCTGTCAAAGAAAGCAATATTATGCAAAATGTGGAAAAGGAGTAAGAAAGAGTAAGCCAAATAAATTAAAAAGATGAGTTCAGGAAAAAGCAAGGGAATATAGCTAAATCGAGATTTAATGACAGCCATTATACCTCTCCAGATCTTTTGTCCTTGCAAACCATCCTTGGTTCACTGTATCTATGCATTGATTTCATACAAGGCCATTTTTCTTTAAATTTCAGAATAACAGAATTGGAAGGGACCTTGGAGGTCTTCTAGTCCAACCCCCTGCTTAGGCAGGAAACCCTACAACATTTCAGACAAACGATTATCTAATCTCTTCTTAAAAACTTCCAGTGTTGGAGCATTCACAACTTCCGGAGGCAAGTTGTTCCACTGATTAATTGTTCAAACTGTCAGGAAATTTCTCCTAAGTTCTGGTTGCTTCTCTCCTTGATGAGTTTCCACCCATTGCTTCTTGTCCTGCCCTCAGGTGCTTTGGAGAATAGCTTGACTCCTTCTTCTTTGTGGCAGCCCCCGAGATATCGGAACACTGCTATCATGTCACCCCTGGCCCTTCTTTTCATCAGACTAGACATACCCAGTTCCTGAAACCGTTGCAGTGAATCACTGCAGTTAAGTGAGTCCACTTCACACAGACACACAAATAATCAGAGTTGGAAGGGACCTTGTAGGTCATCTAGTCCAACCCCCTGCCCAAGCGGGAGACCCTACACCATTTCTGACAAATGGCCATCCAATCTCTTCGTCAAAGTCTCAAGTGATGACCCTCACACAACTTCCAAGGGCAAGCTGTTCCATTGGTTGATTGTTCTCAATGTCAGAAAGTTTCTCCTTATTTCTAGGTTGCATCTCTCTTTGATTAGTTTCCAACCATTGTTCCTTCTCTGGCCTACAGGTGCTTTGGAAAAATAGATTGACCCCTTCCTCTCTGTGACATCCCCTCAAATATTGGACGTCTGCTGTCATGTATCCCCTGGTCCTTTTCTTCACTAGACTAGCCATGCCCAGTTCCTGTAACTGTTCTTCATATGCCTTAATCTCCAGTCTCCTAATCATCCTGGTTGCTCTTCTCTGTACTTTTTCTAGAGTCTCAATATCTTTTTTATAGTGTGGTGACCAAAACTGGATGCAGTGCTCTCGGTGTGGTCTTACTAAGGCTTTATAGAGTGGTATTAGTATTTCACTTGATCTCGATTGTATCCCTCTGTTAATGCAATTTAGGACTGCATTGGCTTTTTTGGCTGCTGCTGCACATGGCTGGCTCATATTTAGCTGGTTGTCCACTAAGACTCCAACTTCATTCAACGACTTTACTTTTCAGAAGGTTGCAAAAGGTGACCACATGATCTTGGGACACTGCAACCATCATAAATACATGCTAGATGCCAAATTTCAAGCACGTGACCACAGGGATGCTACAATGATCATAACGTATAAGTGTGAAAACGGTCGTGAAATCACTTTTTTCAGTGCTGTTGTAATTTCAAACAGTTGCTGAACAGATGGTTGTAAAGTTGAGGACCACCTACTGTATCAATGCTGGCTTTGAGCAAAACCATTGTAAAATGGTGCCACGTGACCATGGGGCACTGCAAATAACTGTAAATGCAGCCTTGTTGAGGAGTGCCTGACATGCAGTCATGTCTGTCTGTCTGTCTGTCTGTCTGTCTGTCTGTCTGTCTGTCTCTCTCTCTCTCTCTCTCTCTCTCTCTCTCTGTAGGGGGCAGCTGTCAGGACTTCAGAGGAGGGTTGTAAGTACCCTGTAAGCCAACACAATTCTAGGCTGCATAGGCAGAGGGATAGAATCAAGATCACGTGAAGTGTTAATACCACTTTATAATGACTTGATAAGGCCACACTTGGAATACTGCATCCATTTTTGGTCGCCACGATGTAAAAAAGATGTTGAGACTCTAGAAAGAGTGCAGAGAAGAGCAACAACGATTATTAGGGGACTGGAGGCTAAAACATATGAAGAACGGTTGCAGGAACTGGGCATGGCTAGTTTAGAGAAAAGAAGGACTAATGGTAATACGATAGCAGTATTCCAGTATTCGAGGGGCTGCCAAAAAGAAGAGGGGGTCAACTGATTTTCCAAAGTACCTGAGGGCAGGACAAGTAGCAATGGATGGAAACTAATCAAGGAGAGAAGCAACCTAGAACTAAGGAGAAATTTTCTGTTAGTTAGAACAATTAATCAGTGGAACGACTTGCTTCCAGAAATTGTGAATGCTCCAACACTGGAAGTTTTAAAGAAGAGATTGGACAATCCTTTGTCTGAAATGGTGTAGGGTTTCCTTGTTGAGTAGAGTGTTGGACTAGAAGACCTCCAATGCCCTTTCCAACTCTGTTATTCTATTTGTGATTCTACTACAGG